GGGTGGATTGATAGGGAGGGAAACCAATGGGGTGTAACAAATTAACATGTTCAACTCTAGGGCCTCTGGGAGTGACACTTTTTCTCTGCATGACATGAAAGAATCTTGCCTAGGGAGAAGCTCTCCAGGGGAGAGCCAAGATTTTTGAACTGGCTGGTTCCCTGGCCTCCACAACTCCCCCTTCTTTATTTAATAAAAAGGCATCTCCCAGAGACCTAGTTATCAACCTTTTGAAACAGGAGAGCATACATAGAACAGTAACGATAATTAAAGAAATCCAAAAGATGTTTTTAAGGAGGGAGGCAACCCATCCTTTGAGTCCCCAGCTTCTAAAAAGGTCCTTGAACCATTTGGGGCTCTTTTTCAGCCTTGAGTTCCTGAAGCGCATGTTGGAGTCTCTGGACGCAAGTGTGGATGCCTTCACTGTGACTTGATCGGTTGAAGCAGCACAGTCCATCAAATCCTGGGGCTGTGCTACTAGCCAGGCATCCACAGCTGATGTTTTCGGGAGCATCCAGACGGTCAGGAACTCGAGGATGGTTTTGCTCTCCATTTTCTATAACAGAACATAAAAAGATTAGCTCTGACTTTGGTGGGGGGCTATTTTCTTTTCCCCTTTCTCTCCTGCCTCCCCCCTTTTTTTCTGAAAAAAGAAAAAAGAAAATATAAGCAGGGAATGGGTATTGGGGATGAGGTAGTTGATTGCTGGTGGGGCCATTTTGCGTAGAGGGGGACACATGGCTAAGGCACCAGCAGTAGCAGCATTAAGCTGCATCTTTGTGCAAATTAGCAAGTGAGTAGTTTGAGGGTAGGTATTTAAGGTGAGAAAAGGAAGAGTGGGAGGGAAAAGGGAAGGGAAAGGAGTTAGAGGAACTTGTACGTTTCACAGTGTTGAGCTGTATGTTGGTTCTTGTCTTTTGGCAGTCTTGATGGTCTGGTGGCAGGCCGGCTCGGTGGGCTCCAGCGACGTCTCCGTCTCCAGGCTGTGGTGGCTTGTTGTTTTTGAGAACCTGTGTGGATCTCAGGAGATTTTGATTGATCTGGTTCTGGTGCAGGATTTGCAGGGCCTAAGTATGGTTTTATATTTTTCCCTGGGAGCCACCTAGGACCAGATGGTGTTGGCACACAAGCGTACCCTCTCCCCCAGGTAATCAATGGGAAAGGTTCCAGTGTTTGCTGTGATTCAGGGTCTTTGATCAGCACCGGCGGCTTCTCATTGAGTTTGGCATGGGTCGAATTGGAGAAGTGCCGTATTACAGGGGGGTCAGGCTCTGTAGGTGAACAATTCAGAAAATTCATAACATACAGAGCCTTACAGAGCCTCTCAATGGGAGGAATGATCTCTGTTCCTCCCCGCTGCTGATCAAGGACTCTCTTAAGGTTCTGGTGTGTCCTTTCTACAATTGATTGCCCTGTGGGAGAGTGAAGTATGCCTGTGGTGTGCTTCACCCCCCACTGACTGAAGAAATCTCTCAATTTGTGAGAGGTGTAAGCAGGTCCATTATCTGTTTTTATTTGTTAGGGACTCCCAGGGTAGCAAACGCAAGGAGAAAATGTTGGATGGTATGTTTGGCATTTTCTCCTGCGTGGGCTGAGGCAAACACTGCACCAGAAAAAGTGTCCACCGAAACATGAACATACTTAATTCTCCCGAAGGACGGGACGTGGGTAACATCAGTCTGCCAAATTTGGCAGCTGTTGAGGTCAACTCCAGAATTCATTGCTGGAACCTGAAAAAATTGACAATTGGGACAGGTGGCAACTATTGCCCTGGCCTGATCCCTGGGTAACTTGAACATCCTCATCAGGGCGGGGACGTTCTGGTGGTAAAATTGGTGGGACAATTTTGCTTAAGCGCGGGGCCTTACCCAGGACAACCAGTTGGAAGGGCAGGCTGGGCTCATAGCTGTGGGCTTGCCGCGAAGACAGGGCCTCCTGGACCTTGGTAATAGATTCTCGGGCCTCCGGCATGAGGGCATGCGGTGAGTCGAGGTTCTCGCTGCCGCGGAGCAGATTGAAGAGGGGCGCGAGGACTTCCGTTGTGATTCCAAGCAGGGGACGTACCCAGTTGATGGACCCGCAGAGCTGATGTAGGTCCCACAGGGTCTTGGGGTCGTCTCTGATGGTCAGCTGCTGGGGCACGACAGTCCGCTCACGAATCCGGAGTCCAAGGTAGGTTCAAGGGCAGGTGTGCTGGATCTTGTCTTCGTGGATCTCAAACCCAGTGTCCTCAATTGTCTTTATAGTATTTTGCAAAGTCCGGTGGAAGTAGTCATCATCAGTGGCTCAAACCAAGATGTCGTCCATGTAATGTAATATAACCGCGTCTGGGAACAGGACTCTCACTGGGGATAGGATGTGGGCTACGTACCATTGACAGATGGTGGGAGAATTTTTCATCCCTTGCGGGAGAACAAGCCAGTGGTATCTTTTTAGAGGCTCCTGTCTGTTTGGGGAGGGAACCGAAAATGCAAACCTGGGGGCATCTCAAGGATGGAGAGGGATGTTAAAAAAGCAATCTTTGATGTCTATGATTGCAAGCTTCCAGTCCCGAGGAAGCATGGAAGGTGAGGGCATGACAGGCTGGAGGGAGCCCATATCCTCAATGACCTCATTGATTTTTCGGAGGTCATGGAGGAGTCTCCACCTGTCTTTGCCTGGTTTGTGTAGGACAAAGACAGGGGAGTTCCAAGGGCTGTTGGACTCAGTGATGTGGCGAGCTGCTCCTCCACGAGGGCTTCTAGTGCGTGCAGTTTGGTTTCGGAAAGGGGCCACTGATCAACCCACACTTGATGGCGCTGTTTCCAGGTGAGTTGGGGGATGGTGGGCTTAGCGCGCTCTTCAGTGACCCCCACTAAAAATCCTTACTGGTAATACACAAAGAAGCCCCCCACTGGGATAGGAGATCCCTTCCCCAGAGGGTGATTGGTGCCCTCACAACAAATGGCCAGATGGTCGCCATTTTTCCTTCGGGACCTTCTACTATTACATTGTGCCTGCTTCTCATAGACACCGTCACTCCCCCAATTCCCGAAATCCCCGCCACAGGCTGCAATTCCCAGTTGGCTGGCCACTCGGAACGGGCAATGATGGTAATGTCCGCTCCTGTGTCTACCATTCCTGGGCGATGGATCTTTTCCCCTTTACAGAACAGGTGGCACTCTATGATAGGCCTGTTGGAGTCCACAACCTGAGCCCACATGGCGGTGGGATTGAGGGGAACCTGTTCCAGACAGTCATTTGGTAACAAAAAGGCTTGTGCCACTGGAGTCTGCTGTTTTAAAAAATGAGGGTCTGTGCAAGTTAAAGAGATGAAAATTTAATCTCCTGGGTGTAAAGTCTGGACTTCAGGTGTTATATGGACTTGTCCCAGAGAGTTAATTGGATCCCCAAGTATTAAAATGTTGGAGGGACCGCCTGGTGGTGCACGTTTCCCTGTGGGGATCTTATAAACACAGTCACCCTTAAGCTGCAAGGAGAGTCTGGTTACCAATTGGCACCGGGTTCCCATCTGAAGCACTCCACTTGCTGGATCTGAGGTTGTGGTTCCCGTGGAGGCGGGATGGTGGATTTGGCAGGAGGGGTGGAGCAGTCTGGCATTTGATTTGATGTCAGAGCGCGGGGCTGTTCCGTGCTCTGCTTGAAGTTTCCCAAACGCCAATTTGATCTGGGTAACTGTTGGTGGGTAGGTGGTTGTAGAAAATGTCTCTCCGGGCAGTCTTTAAAAAAATGTCCAGGTTCGCCACAATTAAAGCAGCGGCTTGTGCTGGAGTCTCTCATTTGCTTTACTGCATAGGCGATAGATATCCCTTCTGCCACTCCCTTTGCGACTGCAAGGGCTACCGTATTCTCAGTTGGGGCAGCAAAGTGCTTGGTGCAGGCTTCAACCATTTGGTCAATGGTTGGTTCGGGGTCAAGTGGAAGGGCTCGCAAAACTGCCTTACATTCTGAATTTGCATTGACCATTGCCATTTTGGCCAGTAATTCCTTTGGTGCTTGGGAGCCCTCTATTTGTTTTTCAATTGCCAATTTTAGTTTATCCACAAACTTAATAAAGGACTCACTTGCCCCTTGTTTAATGTTTGTGAAGCTCTGCGTAGGCACTTTATCATCGGGAGTGACAAAAAGAGACGTCTTGGCAGCATTAGTGATGTCATGTAACGCTGCCTCGGGCAGATCTCGGGCCTGATCTCTTGGTTTCTGGAAGTCACCTTCTCCTGCCAGTTGTTCTAGAGTTAAATTTGGTTTGTTGGCATCTTTGGCATATGCATCTGCCAACTGTTTCAGATGTTTTTTCCACTGCCTTTCCCATAGCATGTATTCTGCTGGGGAGAGAAGGCAGTTCATGATATTTTTAATATCATGAGGCACCATGACATGGGCGGTGAAGGTGGCTTCCAGTAGGTGTTTGAAAAAATGAGAGCCCCAGCCATGCTCTTCAGTGGCTTTGCACAGCTCCTGTAACTCTCTGTAGTGTAGGGTCTCCCATACATTAATGAGTGCCCCTGCCCTGTCCTTCTTATGTACCACAGGGAAAGCTAAGATCTTTTTGGACAGAGCTGAGTCCCCTGCCCGCGTGGCTTCCCTCTGTACCTCGGCCCAGTGGTCTTCATATTCAGAATCTGAATATGAGGACTCACTGTCCTCATCTCTTGGAGGAGATGGGGGGCGCCTGCTGACAGCACGTGGCCGTTTCTGGCAACCGGTACTGGGTCGCTTGTGAGTAGCTGAGGAAGCCAAGATGGCTTCCTTCCGGCTGCTGTCATTACCACTTCTGGTCCCAGTGTTGGGGGGACTGGCAGTAGGAATGGCATTGGGGGCAGAGCTCTGGTTGGAAGGGGCGGGACTGGGATCCACGACAGGGAGGGGTTTCCCGATGGAAGGGGAAGGGCCCGACGCAGTTACACTCAGCGACGCGATGGGAGGGGAAGAGGAGCAGGGCGCAACAGGAAGAGAAAGGGTAGAGGCAGGAAAGTGGCCATTTTGAGGTGCAAGGGCGGGAAAACCTGGGTGCGAAGGAGACAAGATGGCGGGGCTGGCCACGTTGCCGGCGCCATCTTTACTAACGTTAAGAACCAGGGGGGATGCAACCGGGTATGTGGGCGTAGGGAGGAGGGTAGAGGAAAGGTCCAGAGCGGCATGGCCAGTGCCATCCTGGTAAGGGTAGAGAGGCGGTGGAAGGGTGTCAGGGAGACGGCAGCAACCCTGTGCCTGGTGGCTACGTCCACCCGCCAACTGTCCCTCAGGTAGGGAAGAGGGTTTAGGAACACTTGGAGAGGGTAACGGGGATGGGGATTTCAACTGGCGGCCCGAAACTTTATCAACCCTTTCTCCCTCTTTCTCAACAGAAAGTATAATGGTTTGAAACAAAGGAAAAAACTTGGCAACTGATAAATCTCCCCCTGCCTGAACAGTATATAACTTTCTCCCCACATTATCCCAAAATTTTCCCGATTTAACAGAATTAGAATCAACCTTAAAATGTTTAAAAATCCAATGAATAAATATTTTTTACTCCCCTTTTGAAAACTTAAAATTTCCCGCTTTGAGGGTGCCCACAACTTGGATATAAAAGTCCCTCTCAGGAGGGGTCAGTTTGGGTCTGGAAAGCTGATTCCCCATCCTTCTCACTCCCCACCCAGCAGCAAAATGCAAACGAAAACGAGAAAGGCCCAAAAAACCCTGAATGGGGTGACTCACACTTTTTCTTCGGCCGATGCCGATGAGGCCAACAGAAAGCTGGTGGGTGGGTGGTCACCTGGCGGCCGGTCCTCAAGGGCTCTTCTGTCTTCTTGGCCTCAGATGGTCAGCAAGGGTCCCAGTCGCAGCCCTTTGGATTGCCTCTTGCTAGAACGCAAGAGGTTCTCCTCGGGGGGTGGCAGCTCCAACAGCGGCATGCTCTGCAGTTAAAACTGCAGGTGGATGCTTCTTCAGGGGCTCTTCGTCTGCCCCACGTTGGGCACCACTTGCCGCGGTGGTGTTGATGACAGGGGTGCCGCGACTACCCTGAAGAAGCCGTCCTGAAAAGGACTGCCCAGGGGCACAGGCACGTCCTCTGCCCGGCGAGTGATCTCAGCTCAGCGGCAGCGTGCAGGCAACACGGAGAGGGTGACTAGAGAGCTGTATGGCATTCCACTGAGAAATAGCCTTTGTTATAGCAGGGCCCTCAGTGAAGGGAGCCAGTGACAGCAGCTCCTCAAACTGGGGAAAAACCAGGGTATTTATAGAGAAGGAGAGAGGCGGGGAAAACTTGGATACATGTATCGGGGTGGATTGATAGGGAGGGAAACCAATGGGGTGTAACAAATTAACATGTTCAACTCTAGGGCCTCTGGGAGTGACACTTTTTCTCTGCATGACATGAAAGAATCTTGCCTAGGGAGAAGCTCTCCAGGGGAGAGCCAAGATTTTTGAACTGGCTGGTTCCCTGGCCTCCACAGAAAGAATGTTTTCCAATATGAAGATATTTTACACTGCAGTTAAAGGAATAAGAAACTGAAATACATGTTCTTCATGACTGTGTCTTGAGTATAAAAAATTTGCAGTTTGAAACTTGGACCTAAAGTGTTGCAAATGGCAGTGATAAATCCCAATGGACTGAGTGAATGCAGTTTTTCCTATGGGATGTGCAGCACTCCAAGGACTTCCTCAGTGGGGCTGTGGCAGATTGGAGCTTTGTCCTGTGCCACTCCGGGATGTCATGAAATGGGATTTCACCTGCCACCAGCCCAGGTCACGCTCTGCCACCCCAGCTCCTTGGACCTTGTGTCCCCAGAGAAGACACAAGGTGTTTCTGCTGCTCCACCTTTGCACAGATCCAGAGAGCTGGGATTATCCCAAGTCTCCCGTCTCCATTGTGCCATATTCCTAAAGAACCAGCAGCCCATCCCGACGAATATGGTGAGTTATGTGGATGGTTGTCAGCTCCCTTTCCTGCCTAGAAATCCTGAAACTGCTTCTAAATGCTGTTCCCTTCAGCTCTTGGACACCTACTCACACAGAGCTGGGAAAAAAATCCCCTGGCCATGGCTTACAAGGTGAGTTATGCCAAAGTTAGAGCTCTGTGAGAAATCTCTATCCATCCCTATCCTTTTAATATATCTATACGTGGGGGTGTGCATGGATGTGTCTTGTATGGAAAGGAAGGAGTGTGCAAACAACGTGACTGACACTTTCACTCTCTGTGTTCATTCCATACTCATGGGTACCAAGATATTATGGAAACCTTTGCGAGGACAGACGTTCTGTCCATGGCTACAGAGACATCCAAGAGCCCCTGGCACAGGCAGACATTGCTGCTCTTCAGCCAGTGACAGGATGAGTCCCTGAGACTGGGGCTTGGCCTTCCTCATGGTGAGGGGCATCAAGGAAGGCTGCAGTGTGATGGAGACTGTGATGGGCTGGGAACTCACTGGGGGAAAGGAGGGAGCAGTTGTGAAG